GTAAGCGTAGCTTTATGTGAAACCAATGGCGAGCCAATCCATTGTCAAAAACGCCGACTCGAGCATTGGGCCGAACATTTCTAGCAGCAGTTTAATTGGCCAACGGCAGCGATGACTTTCCATTCTGGAATACAGAGCGCTCTCTGGTGTGTAGACTCTTCACCGCCATCCGAAGCTGAGGTTGTCTGCCGGTGGCCGAGTGCTCTGTGCGTTTGGTTTGCAACCATAAGGTCACGGCTTCGAATCCGCCTAGGGGTGAGCGTCCTCGCGGTATACTCAGCCCGCACGCGACTAGTTGTGATCGCGTGGCAGCGAAGCGCCGTTGCGCCATACAACTGGCGATTTATTTATTTTTTGCCCATGGGCTTCACCTCTTAAAGCGCTACAAAGCCCCTGGTCCAGATGAACTACCTCCTGCTCTTTTCAAATATGAAGGCTTTTACTTGTTCAGGGGCTAATTTTTCACCTCCAAGAGATCTGAATCACTGAATTTATCCCATCTGATTGGAGCCTAGCGGATATCGTGTCCGTCTTCAGAACGGATACCCGAACAAACTGCGCCAGTCACAGAGGGATGAGTCTTATCTGTGTTGCTTCCATGGTGCTCGCAACTCTGCTTTTAAGGAGGCTCAGCCTGGTACGCGAACAGAGCATACGTGGAGAGCAAGCTGGGTTCCGCTCAGGTCGGAATTGCATCGATCACATCTTTACACTCAGCCAAATACTCGAGCGTTGTCAAACAGTTGGCCAGCAACCAATCGTTGTCTACTGAGGCATACAAGCCGCGTTTGACTCTGTTGGCCGAGCTGCTGTTTTCTGCTGCGAAGGGAAGTGCCCGAGAAGTAGGTCACGTTACTTCAAGTCATCTACACTCGGACCTAGTGCGGGTGCACGGCAGATTTTCACCCCCATTTATTATCACCAGTGACGTGAAACCGGTTTGCCACCGTCCCCCTTCTTGTTCACTTTCGCTTTGCACGAAATCCTGAAGTGTTCTGGGGAACTGCGAACCCAGCGGCGTCAAGCTGCTTCCGGAGGACCTATTTCGGTGTTTGAAGTATGCAGATGACATCCACGTATTCTGCGATTTCTCACAGGTCACCCAAAATGTCCAGTGTAGGTTGAAGGTGTCTGTCTCCCAGTTTGGAATGACATTAGCACCATCGAAATGCAAGATATTCCTACAGTACTGACTAGGCGCTGCTCCTACCCTTGTCCTTTCAAGTCATTTATTGAAACTCGTGAACAAATTCGTTTATCTCGGAAGCTGCATCAACGCTAATGGTTTAACGGATGAGGTCTCTTTACGCGTCTCTAAGGCTCAGGTTGCTTTTGCTAATATCCGCCATCTCTGGCATCGAGGCGATCTGAGTCTATATGAAGAGCTGCGTTTACAATGCTACAGTGAAAAACAGTTCGGCTCTAAGGTTGCGAGACTTGGCCTGTTAGCGCAAACTTTGTTATATTGGAAAGACGACCAGGAGACTGTCTGAGAGAGTACGAGAACATTGCCCGGCGTGGCTCTACACTGGTGTCAGAAAGACAGTAGTCAGCGCGGTGCTGGGGCATTTGACTGACACAAATCACCAAGGGAATGTGTGGGAGGCCTTCCGACCCATCTACATGATATCTGGACGCCACACGCGAGCCGTCCGATGTCGCCTATTGGCGACAGCGGAAGCAATCGCTATTCGGCTCCATAACCCCGACTTATGTGCTTAAAAGAAGTTTGTACAGGCTCTACAGCTGCCATGGCCTCAAGCTTCCCCATGTTATGACACTACGCTTGACTCTTCCACTAATGATGCCCAAGCCAGTGTGGTCACTTGATCGCATTAACCGGTCAATTCACTTCATTGATTCATCGTATTTAAATACACTGTGTTTGTTTTATTCTTATTATCTGTGGTGTATTGGCCTGATGCGAACCACCGAAAACAAACTTGTCCGCCTAACTGTCTTTTGATTCTGATGTCATCTCATGGATTAGTTTCACAGTAGAAGGTCTTTTTCAATCACCGCTGCCTTCCGTGCATTGCTGGTGTATGATGGCAACATCACTCTAGTAATGAAGATGTTCGACGGAGGATTTTCAGATCAGGCAGACTTCCGGCCACTGAGCACTATTTCTCTGCACAGACTTCAGTGGCTTGGGCACGTTCTTCGCATGTTTACTCATCGCTTACCCCGCCATGCGCTTTTCACGCGCGCAGTAGTAGGCTGGAAACGAAAGCAAAGTGATCAACTTATGACTTGGGCTAGGAGCATGAAGGAGCAATCGTCAAAAATAACCGTGGTCGGGCGCTCTCAGCTCCCTGGCTGGGGTGTGAAGGATCAGGAACATGCATGGCTGGAAATACTTTGGAATATGGCAAGGAACCATACGCAATGGCGGACCTGTTGTAACTCCCTATTCCCATGAACACTGTTTCGAATTCTTTTCCCCTCTACCTTCCTTTGTTTATTGTATTTCCCATACATTGTGGCATACACCAATTACACTATTGGTTGTGTTGAATATACTATATAGTACTATATATGTCCAACCGTTGGGAACTTCACCATGCAACAAGTAATACGTAAACAATTCTGCTAGAGGTAAAGCTGCAGCTGCAGCGCACGGTCGCAGGAGCCTTGGATTGAAACCGTCTGTGCCTTGGGAAGCCGTTGACTACAGAGATTAGAGTCTTGCCAGGACCTTCTCTGGAGTGAACTGAACCGTTGTCAGGGACGTTGATTGTGAGCTAGAAGGCGTTCTCCTTGTAGAGACTGATGCAACAGCCAATACACATGAGTACTGTTAGCACAGGGTTTCTGCGGCCTCGCTCGCTGATTTTGTGAGTCCTGTGGGGGTCATCAACACAGTGACACTGTGTTTGACATGTCGAAGGCGGTTGATGTGACTGTACAGATACTTGAGAATGGGTGGGAATTCGCGCACAAACTGACGCTGCTGTCACTCTTATCTTCGCTTATAAGCTAGACGCACTTGTTTCGGGGAAGTCGGTAGTCTTCCCAATGATTAGCTATTTGACGAAATTCATCAGCAGTATCCCGGCACTCTGTACCGACTTTTCGGTACCACGTGACCACCACCCGTCACGCGTGGTTTGTGTATCCTGCGAGGACGTCCCTACGCGGATTCGAACCGTTGACCTAAAGATTGCAAGCCAAGCGTGCAACCCTTTCGGCCATCGGTCGATAGCTATTGGACGGGTACCATACTCCATGTCGTGTCCCCTGTGGGCAATCCACTTCTGGGTACGGCTTCAAATGGATGTGGAGCTTTGTTTCCCTATGGGAACCTGTATGCAGGTCATGGTTGTGGAGCAAATTTTACCCACAAATTCTACTGTTCCAGTCCCACTTGGTCTTGGTAATCATTCCCATCTTCGAGGTACTTGCTCGATGTGGTCGAACTCCCTCTTGTCCCCAACCAGTTTCACTTGCACGTGATTCCTTTCTTGACTTAGCATTTTGGCGACAAATAAAAGAAGACTGCAAGTAGAGGGTTCCGAAGGTTGTGTTTAATATGCCGTTCTTTCGGAGGCCTAGCTGCCAACATCGTTGCGGAGACATTTTCAGCTTTCGTTCGGCCCCATCTGGAATATTATGTCCAGGCTTGCTCTCCCTGCTTTGTTCAAGACAAAGTGGAGCTCGAGAGGGCTTCGCAAGCAGGGTACATGGTGGTCGTGGTATTACGAGGTCAGACCTACTCTGAGACTTTACTTAGTTTGGGTATGTATTCGATCCACTGCCGATGGCTTCGAGGAGATCTGATCCTCACTTACCGTATACAAACTGGGAAGGTTGGACCAGACTATTTTACTCCGTCTAGGTTACCTTGTCTTCGCGGTCATCCCATGAGGCTACACAGGCCGCGTTCCGACAGGATTAGGGCCGAAACTCGATTGTCACGTAGTTACTAAGGGCCGGAATTTGCTTCCAGAAAATGTACCATAAGGGTTTTGAGTGCAAATTAGACGCTCGTGGGTAGAAATACGAAATCTTTCCCTTCTGACCCTATCCGTTTTCCTACTTTGCTTTTCTTTACTCGTTATCATCTTCCATTTAAATGACCGCAAGGTAACGAGGTTTTAGCACTGGGCTACAGAGAGTCCATTTTATGGAGTATGGGGTCATCTTCACTCCAACCTCCAACCTAAAGGGCCAGGAAACCTAGTTTTTCTGTCCTCTAACTACTGTCCAATCTGATATGAGTGGCTCTGAAGCTGCAAAAGCATCACCCAGCATATCGCAGTGGATAGGTAAGGCACGCAAACCATCGCGCCACATTAAGTATCAGTCTCGTCGCAATGGACCGTGGCCATTCACTTGACTGTGTTGTAGCAGGGTAGGGTGTTTCTCCGCATACTGCTGATTGCATGACAGAGGTGCACAAATCGTCACTTAACAATAAGATTCACTTTTTAGTTGCTATGAAGAAACACTGCAGTGGTCATTTCTGATCATCAACTCATGTAGACATGCACACCGTGGCATTCAGTCGGTGGTGATTTAGATGTCTCCAGCAGTGTATCCCAATAACCACTAACTTCTAGCGTGATTCGCTGTGAGAGTTCTTCACCTCTCAGTCCCAGCCTGCCTTCATCGGTTATCTAATGCTACTGTTACTTCGTTTCTTTTTTTATTTATTTACGGAAACATGTTTCGTAGTAGCCCCGCTGTTTATGGACCAGGGGAGTTCGAATCCAAGAATGCAACCCAATCCCAATTTATGCGTGGCAGCTTGTTTCTAAATGAGGGCTTTTCCAGAACATCGTCATAGTCTGGTATTGAGCGGTTGTCCACTAGTCAGGTTCTTCTCTTCCTCCATTTCTCCTTTTAGTTTGGCGAGTTCTCATCCATCTTCACTGTGTTCTTGCAGGTCATTTACTCGCTGTTACGGTTTTTGTTATTTGCAATGATGTCCAGTTTTCTTATTGCTTTTATTTTTCGATAGTTTATATTTTTCTTCATTTCTCAAATTGCAGCCTACAATGTCCGAGGACGACGATTGGAAATCGCTCCCAACTATTGGAAAGGTGCAGCACGCGGTATGTGCGTCTTTAATTTATTCACACTTTCCATACTGTCTTTTATAGCAATGGAAAGCTCGAGTACAAGGATACACGGAGGCGGTGAAGCTATTTTCCTCACAGACCTCCGAAAATGCTCCTATCTTTAATGAATATGTGGGTCTTATGAAGAAGTTCGTCATGGACTCGAACGCTATAGCACAAGAGTCTGCCATGGATGCCGTTCTTGCATTCGTGGAGAACGCAAGTGTAGCCACAAAGTAATCCGTTTTCGGTCGTCATTTTTAATTTCACAGATGCGCGTCAGACTTATGCACCGCTTTAGTGACCAAAGGTCTCAGTGCAACTCGCGCAAAAACTAAGGAGAAGGCTGTTGAATGTTTAATGCAGTTGGTCGAACTGGAACGTCACGAGACGGTTTGTGAGGAGCTGCTCAAGGGATTGGGGAACAAGAATCCCAAACTCGTTGCCGTATGTTTGCAGACTCTACGAGAAATTTTAAGGTAACCCAGTAGTCCATTGTGCTCACCGATTCCGTTTGTTGTTAGCCTCTTTGGACCAAAAGTTATTTCCCTCAAACCTTTAGTCAAGGAATTTTCGCGTCTGTTTGATGATCGCGATAAGAACGTCAGGAACGAGACCAAAAATGTGGTCGTTGAAATTTACCGTTGGATCGGACAAGGAAATAAGTCTTTACTAGCTGATCTGAAGCCTGTTGTGGTATGTTCTGCTCTTGATGCGTACCACTCATTCGGTTTTTATCTTAGGTTTCTGAAATTACGGCGCTCCTGAATGACCTTCCACCGGAAAAGCCCGTTCCGCAGCGCTTTCTTCGAAGTCAGCGACCAATGCCCGAAGCTTCTTCACATTCAGAGGCTGGTAAAGACAGCGGTTCCGCTGCTACTGATCCCGAGTACTCTGCGGCTCTCGATGAGCAGCTGGATCCGGACGAATTCATCAAGCCTGTAGAAGTTTTGTCAAGAATTCCAAACGATTTCTGGACTTTAATTGTAGCTTTTTATTTATCATTGAACGCATTACTGTTCTTTTTCTGTAGACAGAGAAAAAGTGGCAAGATCGTCAACAGGCGCTCGAGTCTGTTCTACAATTGACCAACGTACCTCGCATTGTTCCAGGGGATTTCGGGGAACTTGTTCGAACCTTGTTGAACGTAAGTTGACCCATCCCTTACGCATGGCTAATTCAACCCACTAGGTACTAAACAAGGATACCAACGTAGTCCTGGTCACTTTAGCTGCCAAAATTCTGGGTCAGTTGGCCAACGGTCTTAAGAAAAAGTTTTCCCCGTACGCACAACAGACAGTGACATCTTGCCTTGCCAAATTCAAGGACCGAAAGCCCACTCTTGTCGCCGCACTAAGAGATACCATAGATGCTGCCGCTCGCTCGGTGAGTCTACTTGCACCAGTATATATATATATATGGGCTTTTTTGCTGCCAACTATTATTGTTTTCTGGCTGTGTGATTGTCTCCCTAAACAGTTTAGTTTACTTAAACTCCACTCCCTCAAAATTGAAAGTTTTTGACTTTTGAACTACACGTCGTATGTATTATGCACCTGGTTGTTCTTCTCTTTCTACCCACATTCATTCTCCCATTTGTAGGTCACTTTGGACACCATTGTGGAAGACGTGGTTGCTGCGTTGGCTCATAAGACTCCTGGCGTGCGCGCTGAGGCGGCGTTGTTTCTGGATCGCGCGTTCGCTCGATGCACACCGGCTGTTTTGACCAAGAAACTGCTGAAGGCATTCACTGTCCCCCTGTGTGAGACCTCCAAGGATACGGTTGGCGATGTGCGTGAGAACAGTTTTTCCGCCCTCGGGACCGCCATGAAGGTCGTGGGGGCCAAACAAATCGAACCTTTCTTGAATGATTTGGATGCGTTACGCATGGGCAAGATAAAGGAATATTGCGAAAAGGCGACTCAACAACAGCCCCCAGCTCCAGCGAGTATGTACCAGTTTTCTTCCCCTTTCTCGGTATTCAGTCACGGTTTCTCTAACCCGTCCTCATTTTTGTCACTTTTCCACCATTTTTATACACAGAACTTTTCCTGTATCACAATTATCATCGCTTTGTTTCTTCCGAGGCCACTGCGATCGCCACCGTTACGGGAGATTAATAGTACCACAGATGATTGTGGTTTCCGCTGACAGCGTGGATAACTTGCTACTCTTGTGCAATCTGAAACAGCCAACCTCCCAGTTCAGAAGCCAGTGACCTTGGCAAAAGCTCTATTGGGCACTTGACGAACAGTAATTACAGCCAACTATGGGGTCAAGATAACTTGTTCATAAGCGAATGACCCCGTCGAACGTTTCTGTATTTCACCATCTACTAGGTATCTGAAAACGCGATTATCAGGTAGCCAATAAGTGCGCTCACTGATAAACTACAAGGCGAATCATTCTCGTTGGTAGATCGTTCTCATTGACTAGTCAACTGTCTTCAGGATGCGTCGGGCCAAACTTCTCCGGGTTGCCGACGAAAGCACCGGCTCAGAAGGATGCTATGAGCCAGCTCCCTTAACAAATTTAAACATGTATGCAAATCTTCCACTGATTCAGGTTTCGCGCTATCACCGTCATAAATAGCAATACATCAGCCATTTGAATTAATTCTTCGCTGCCACACAAGCATGGCGATCTTCGGAATGAAGAATACTAAGCGGGAGAGAAGGGGGACTTGTCGGAAAGCCTTGGCACCCTAAGCAAAGATTCATGGTCAAGGCGCCTACACCTTGTTAACAACATGCTATCACAAACAGCTGGCTATCGTGCAAAGATAAGACGGCATCGGCGAGATAGCTTCCTTGCGGCTTTCACTGCCATGTGTCCTAATCAGCCGTTACCCTGACGATAACTCAGCACCAAACGCACTTTGAACGGACAGTCCGACCATGTAACCGTAGCAAGCGCGCCATTAGTGCCTACTGCGAGCCATGTTCTGTTATGTCTCAAGCCAAGTACAAGGCAAGTCATGTGGAATCCAGTCTGGAAGGCGAGACGGATCGACGTCACTGAGTTTGGTCGTCAGTGACTTCATTTCTCGCTGCCAAGTCAACTTTTGTCTACCTCGAGCCTTGCGCCACATTATATCTGGCAGACTAAACAATGCCCTCCTAGGTAAGCTGTGACCGGGCATGCGTATTACGTGCCCAAACTAACGCAACTTATTCAGTGCTATCTGTTGCTCTAAGGAACTAACTTGGTTATCACTGCCTGGTACTCGCCTACGCGTATCATCGTTGCGGACACGCTGGTTCCATCCGACACCAACAATGCTTCACAGAGCGATGATCAAAGACTTGAAGGCGCCTCAAATCTTCAGACCGAAGGGGCCAGATTTCACTGCCATAGAGCAGAACGACCCTCACTGTGGCCTTGTATACACGGCCGTCTTGACGGATGGAAACCCCTTTCTGTCGCCAAAGATGTCGCACCATATTTCGCAACGTTTCGCTCCACCGGCATTCCTCGTCTTTGAGTCCTTAACCATGCACACGTATAGATCCAACGGTGGCTAAATGTGATGTCAGTGCTTACATCTCTTGTCACCAGGTGGATTGTTGACACCACGTGGTCTTTTCTAACTCATTCCTTTGCGAGCATAATGTGGTAAATTCTCAGATTACACGCAGGACTTGCGCTAACCATCTCAACTGACGCAGCAAAACCTGCTTGTTTTCACTTGCCACCATATATCACCTCAAGTTTAATGACCAACTGTCTTGTTCAGACGGCCACGTTTTGCTTGGTTTCCGAGTTCACTCCTTGACGTCACTTTTGACTACTGTTGTACTTGAGCGATTTTTTCAACATGCGCTTCTCGTTTTCCCCTTATGACAACCCAAACCAGCTGAGGCATTCACCTTCACAGGTGAACATCTGTTTCCATTAACGACTTGGAGAGCTCCTCTCGCACTTATTGGTGCTACACGTGAACAGTTGTCAGGTTTTAATCCGATTGCCTGAAACCAGAGAACTTATACTGTTGACTTCAACACGTCTTCCACGACTGTCCAATAGAAGCTTTAAAGGTTTGCAACGTCCCTATTCAGGTGTGCCTTTAGACGCGGGCACCAGTCATAGCCTTTTTGGCGGGAAACGCGTTGCGTTTCCGGATTGGCCTGTTACTGAGACAGCCACAGGACGCCTGCGCTTACTGAGGATGCATGGGGGTCTTGCGCTGCACAATTCACAGCTCCATACACACACTCACATTCAGTATAAACCAAACCGAATAAGACTGGGAGGCATGTGGATTTAAGCCATTTTTCTTCGACGAAGACGGCCCACACTTTCAACACAAAGAGCAGAAGCATTCACGCCTACTTGGGAAACCATGCGTCCCAGACGTACGCAATGCGGTGACTGGACCATAGTCCACTCCACACTGAGTGCATGGAGCTACTCTTCGAGCTTAGCACAGCTACGAGGACCGTGCACTCCGTCCCCCTTCCGCCCAGCAACAATTCACAGTCTCTTGGGGCCAATATTCGAGGTTTAGAGTGTTAATGATGAGCCTGGTGACCGCATGATATACCCGGTCAATCCTTTGTACTTCGCCCCTGGTGGTACTGCTAAATGCGGATGATCCGTTCTCTAGCATTGGTCGCATGATTGAGACGAAGAGACGAGTGGCAATCCCTTCACTTCCCTTGAGCGCCCAACGCCTATGAAATCCGTCTTGGTAAAGCCTATTCATGTAGTCCATGGGATTCAGGTCGTAGTGCGTAAGTACACGGAGGTCTTTCACGAAAGCCGTTGGATGCAACGGTTGACCGGCCACAGTGTATCTTCGATCGTGTCCACCCTTACCCAGACTTATGAATAGCCACTTGACCGGGTCTATCGGTAAGTTAATTAACTTTGTATTCGCTGTTTTCAGTTTTATTCTTTGTTCAATGCTGAATACATGTGTGTGTGTGTGTGACTGCTGAATATTTATCCTCCCGGATGCATAAAACGAATTGAAAGAGGCTTTAAGTTCTGACACTTGGAATGAACATCTAAGTGTGCTATTATGTCTTGAGCCCAATGTGGTCAAGAAGTCATTGGCGCTGTTTCATCATTGGGCCCTCCGTTTCCTAATCACCCATCCGTGGTCATTTCCACTACCCTTCTAACTGATCATCTTTATCCATGTTATGGGGAACGCACGTCTCCGCGGGACCGCGCAAACCGAAAGATCACAAAGCATCAACCCTCGCATTCATGCACAACCGGATTCCGCATTTATGAACATTCACTTTCCGAAACGTTCCGCTTGCATTCGTTTTAAGTCAGTTCACTTGCTTACGTCTCGCTTTACTTGTTTAGCCTACGCAAAATATTCTATACGGCAAACTACATATTTCACTAAATCTCGGTATATACTTGAGGGTGGACAACGCTGTACTGGCTCTTTACGGGATTAGTAAAGGCGCCTCTACGATGTGCTTGTTTTTCTTCTCTCAGGTTCGTGTAGCTGCGCGTGACGTCCGCGTTCTTTGTACTCGCCCGAATCAGCTCACGCGTAGAAAATATTCGGCAAACAAATCTCACGGGTCGTGTGCGTCGAATTCTGTCGTGTGTTTATGCAATTTGCAACATGTTCGTTCGCTTCGACTAAGGGAGTCGTTACAACCGTGTTGTTGCCCTTTGATAACGGTGATGTTGCGACTAGCATAATTTAGCCAACCTTCTGTGCTTTCCGTGTTATTTATCAACTGAATTAAAGCCAACTTCCCAATGGAGTCGTGCCGTTGGCCCGCCGAATTTCGTCTGTTGTTCCTGATCTTCTAGATTTCCACCAGCTACACTGTCTCGCTTGTCTCGGGTCTTTTTCTTCACTTACTCACCGCATTTACCCAGGTTATCGAAACAGTACACTGGTTAGACCTCAGAGCGCTTGGATGGTAACGTTGGGCCTCCAGCTTGAAGACGCTGACCGAAAAGCCAATATCTACTGACGTTTATCATCTTCGCGAATGCGTGCCACGGGGTCAGACATATCAGGGGTTATAAGCTCTCTGCTTACGTGATATCTCAAAGGAATTGGTCAAACTTCTACATACCGCTTTTCATTTTTGGTCGTTGACCCGTCATCTTTGATCTACATTTTTCTCCGTCCAAGTTTTCACGTTTTCTCTCCTTGTTTCGGTGCCTTTTGTCTTTAGTCTAATGGACATTGTGCCAACCGTCGCACTACGTCAGTTGGATCACCCTTGGTACAACAAACTGAATCGAGTTTCTAACTGCTAAAGAAACATACTCATGTTCCATTGCACTTTGCTGTGCTACTGCAACACACTGTGAATTTCTTTCGACCGGCTATGCAGGCTCACATATTGAAAAATCGAGAATTAATAATCATGCTAATATTGATGGTACTAATTAATATTAAAAAGGAGTGCCTACTTTTTCTATCCAATCAGAACCGGCCTCAGCTGCACCACCCACTACCACAGGCACGATGGCTCCTAAGCCACTACGTCGAGCAGCTCCTCCATCACAGAAACCAGCAGCGGCCGTGCCGGACGACGAGCCATCCGATCGCACTGACGGTGGAGACACTACCACTCAAAGCTCCGCTGCTCCTCCAAGTCCTAAACGAAAGCCCGCAAAGGTCACCGTGGTTAAGGAGACGTTACTTCCGGATGACCCATCTCATCAGGAGGCGTGTGAGTAAGTATACTTCTCTGACGATGACGTCGACTCGCCGTTCGTCATCTTTTCCAATCGCATTGCGACCCGCTGAGCGGTTCACTTAACACCGAACTTTGCGCAACGGCACTGTTTATAAAGTTTAAATGTAAATATTTTGGAGGATGCTTTTCATCGCCATGTTTTTACCTGCTGCTCCACATTAATTTTGACATCACTTGTAGTGGCCTTGGCTCGTCCTGATGGTTCTCTTCACTTGCTCTTTGGTAACAGTCCCTCTGCTGCCTCACTGAAGTGCCTCTCGGACTTGAACCACCACTAGTGGCTTTATCATGTACTCTGGATGTTTGCAAACCGTCTGCTTTGGCCCAAGTGGTTGAAAACCCTGGGTAACCTGTCAATAACACGACAAACGGGCATGTGGAAGCTCACCGAAGAATTTGATCCTCTTGATTCTCGTTGCCTTCTTTGTTGGGATCGGTCGGTAGCCGATAGCATAAGGCACACGTCTTGTAATCAGGAGATGACCGCCGGTTCGCGCATCTGTTTGGTTGCGAGCCAACTCACCGTGTACTCGGCTCCCATACGCGACTTACCGTGATGATCGCTTGTCAGTAAAGCATCTGTGCGGTATGCTGGTGTACTTCTGATGCCTTCGTCCCTTTGTTCCCTATATCAGTCTCGTCATTGTTTAGCCACTGTCAGATATAACAAATCACGAAATCGGTGGTACTCTTGCGTTTGATCACTTATTCCTGGCCATTTATCACTCCATTCGCCCATCTTATTTCTTGATTGTTCCCCTTAACTTGTTTTCATTTTTATCGATAGCTTATTGCAGTCGACTTGCAGACAGTACGTATCCCACACACCCATTTCCTTCTCATCTGACTAGTCAATAGTACGCATCCCCGGCTCCACCTGAAGCCAAGTCTCTAATCTTTGGACACCAGCGGCTTAAGTCACTATACCATTGGGGACAATGGCAGACCATCGTCTCTTATTACTATTAGTGTTTGTATCCTCGTTTTGGGGATGTGGATTGATGCAGAGCGACCCGTTGCACATGGGCCCACGGATCTTTGTTGCTAACCTGAACGGTACCGAATTATTATTCTCTCAAACCAACTATCGATGCTATCGTGAAATCACTTTGCATTCTTTCTGGTTAGGTATTCCGCAAGTTCCATTGGATTGCTCTGTGCTTTGTGGATATATTGGCTCCCTCCACAGACATGTGTGCGCCTCAGATGTAATCCTCACTTCGTAAATACTTGCATTGTAGGCTTATCTTGTGCATGTACCTGGTACTGACCGATGCGCCCTTTTTTAAAGACCAAGCAATAAGTCTATCGTCATTGGCAAGTGTCCTTGTGAGAGATTTCGCATAACTGGATGTAGGACAGAATGCCTATTACTTTAGTTGTTATTGCTGTACTGTACACGCCAACGGCTGTTATATGCCTATTCAATTCGACCCATAATGTCTCCTGTCATTTGGGGGATTAATGCGTTTCCTTACCACGGCACAACTAATGGCCTCCGAGTAGGCACATAAAGTACCGTGCTTCATTGTTCCAAAGCGAAACTAACGCTCATTTTTAAGTGACACTGGTTTAATTAATCACACCCGACCATCGCTGAGCGTTGTTGCTACATTCTCAAGAGGACTGAAAACGACACTGTTCGAGGACATTTTCCTGGTCTCATGTGCCAATTTGAGTCTGCGGTTGTTTCTAAACCCCATAGTCATGTTTGACATCCGTTGCAATTTGACTACAGCAAAGTTATCCAACTTGGTAACTTCCAAGATATGTGATGTAGAGGCGTGACAAGAGGGCGGGAGGTGGTCCGCCTCGGGCAATATTTTTAGTACCGTTGATTGTTAGATACCAACTTTAAAAGGCAACATTTCCAGGTAAACTGAGTGTTGCGTATTTTAATGTTACTCTGTACGACCAACAACACGTTTGCGCCATGTATCACACCTGTGCCCACGTTCTTTCCAGCGATCCCCCTTACGTGTTCACCTTCACCATACTTACCTCAGTGTCCTAAACAATCATCCATTTTATCGAAAACTCATGTGCACACTTTACTCTGATTCGATTTCGAGGGTTTTACGTATTTACAATCGCCAGAAGGGGGGGCGCAAATTTTACCACCGCCCCGGGTGGCAAACTAGTCGCCACGTCAATGATGCGATGCCAAGTAATTTAGCACCTCATGGTAATCAGATGGGAATGCGAAGCGCTACCAGAGAGACACTCATCAATAATCTTTCCCCAGCTATACGCAAGTAGACACATGATTCATGTACCGTTTTCTTTCTGGGCTCACTTTAACACTTCGCCTCTTTTCGTCCCATGTTCCATGCTCAGTTGTTCACCGCCAAATGAACTTTTCTATCCGTACCTTTTGTTCTCATCAGTGGGGTCATTCCACTCCACTTGTTGTAGCTACATGACGTCTCAACGTGTTCCGTGCATTCGATTGTGTTTTATTGCTCTTGTTCTCCTTCGGTTATCACTCGCTTTTTAGGTCCCGTGTAGCATTGTAATGGTAGCATTTCTGCCACAGCTACAATTAACTATTTCCACACACATCAGTTCAGGCACACCACTACAATCCGAACCAAAGTTCACTTCAATGTGAATCGCGGTCTACATTGAGACTGCGCGTCGCAGCCCAATCACACAACGTGTACTTCAAAGTATCCCTCCAGTCAGCTGTTAAACGTTGTGTTAAGTGTCGCCCGTCGTGACCCGGTAGCCAAAGCGGTAGAGGTTTTGGCTACTGTTCCAATAGTCACGGGTTCAAGACATGCTATGTGCACTTAATGCGATCGTAAGACGTCGTAGAGTGCAGTGTTTTCGGGCAGGCAATACCGTTTCCATCTGCTACGCCAGATCCTCCTTCTGCTTTGTCCACACCTCGCTGATGGCATGACATTAGTGAAGGGAAATGTGATAGAGCGCAGAGAGGAGGCTGAGAGAGTGGGGGGTAAAATTAGTCAGATAGGGAAGTTAACAGTTTGGATACAAATGACCAAATTTAACAGCGCCACTGAGTCCTCAACTGCGCCATTTCTGGCAAGGCATTCAGCAACTGATGGGCCCATTCCGAGGCCCCGATATACTAAGGCATCAATTCCCAGCCTACAGAACACTGTGTCACTTCACAGCTGCTGTTACGAAGGTCCAAACACCTGATGACTAAGCACTGTCCTCTGAAAATCCACTAACCTGCATGTCGGTGGAGGATGGATGGGGCTATATCGCAGTTAGGTTTCAATCCGTGCTGATCGGATATCGTCTCCCATGGATTGGTGGCATAAGCCGCTGGCTAGTAATGCAAGCGACTAGCGTTCATGGGTTCTATCCTCAGCAGGAGACCGAGAGAATGCGCACCGCTGGCGTTTCCCAATAGGACGAAGCGATCCTCTTTTGTTTTTCCGAATAAGCAGTTGGCCTATGCGGCTTATAAGCTAGTCGCGACGACCTCAATTACTTACCAGCATGTTTAGGGGATCCGTGGTGGTATAGAGTCACACAGGCGCACGGCTAACGATCTCTACACCCCAATTTTGCGTCTCCGCTTCTACTTGAGCTTGCTTCGCTTCTGCAGTATCCCAAACGGCGTACAGCCGCTTGTGATTGAGGGACAGTAACATGCCAGTGCATTGCTGACATTGTGCCTCAAGTAACGAGCTCGCAGTTTCACCCGACTGAGGCAACTGCAGCATATATTGCACACCGAGAGAGGCAGCCAACAAGCATACTGTGAGCATGATCTAGCCAGCATAATCGATCTCAGTCCAACGGATGCTACACTACAGCACCAAAGAATCTCTTTCTATACATCAGCTAGAGAACTTCAGTGTTGCTCGTTCCGATCTGATCAATGCTGTACAAACGCCAGACACTATTGGCTGGTAGCCTTCAAACTCTTCCGCTGCAGTGGCCATTTTTCTAACCTATAGTGTGACAGGGTGCACGCACTCCTTTCTTTTGATCATTAAATAAACATCTCGCGATCTCCGTGCATGGTTTTGCGATTTTGAAATGCCACCCAGGCTGCCCTGATTTGTGCAGTAACCTTAGTGTTTTTGGCCATCAAAACTAATAAACCTGTCTATTCAACTGAACCGGACGATCACGTCCACTAGCTGTCCGGTAGTACCTGGAGCCCTTGTTTTGACCATTCGCTCTGAAGAGACCAACTACCTACCGGCTGGCGCCTGCTACATTCTGTGTCAATCTATCCGAAATCGTTCATACAAGGGCTAGCTTTTAACCAGAATCTACAATCTGGGTTCATCAATCGGTCAATCTGCACAACTTCTTCCTCAAAAATGCTAAGTGGACAGTCTTACCTTTGTCACTTTGCTCATAACGTTGAGGAAGCGGGGGGATACAGACCAACTCTGATGCATCCCACATATATCGAGGAACTCGATACAGGTCATTTTCCGAATGTAACGAGTTCCATGGAACGTCTCTCAAGCGTACGCATTACCGCAAGCTAGTGCGGTCACTCGGATCAAAGGTCATCTTCAAATTGGGAAAACCTCCTTTGTTTGTTCATCTATGTATGTGTGTGTGTGTGTGTCTGTTCCGTCATCGAACTAATCGCAAGCATGTTGTTAATGCAATCTCTACTGATGCGTAATATGGCTTGGTTTTTGCTGCTTCAGCTCTCACGAGAGCCAGTGGGCCGCCGCATTATGCTTCTTGTTAACAACTTGGAGGCATCACCAACGCCTTGATGGCTTTTGCACGATATTTCAGAACCATTTATAAAGAGGGATTGATGGTAATTATCGCTGGAATACTGCTTCTCATTGCTGTCCCCCAAGCTCTCGTTATTTGTGCTAGCACTAAAAGCCATCTAAGAGTTTCCGTCGAGATTTCAAAGGCTGGATGATGGCTTACAGGAAGCCGTCTTCTCTGTACCTCACGACAAATAGAATGCGTTATGGTTGCACTACATCCATTAATTATTAATCATTAATAACTATTCTACCGACGTTTTCTGGGGTGGAAATTTGACCGGGAACCAACTGATAAGCCTGGAGCATACCGAACAAACTAGGTTGGAGAGATCCTCTGGAGAAGCGTTTCCGAATAGATTGAGATGAAGTGTTGCATGCCTCCTCATATCCTCCGCACCTTCAGAATACAAGTTACTGTTGTGTAGGTAGGTTAACTTGCCGACGATTCCGACTATCACCGTACAGCCGCTGAATGTGTTTGATCGGCTCACCTGGTAGTTTTACCACCTTAGGTAGCCACATCGTGCAGCTTCCGAAAATCCGAGCCATCTATGGAGGCGGCGGAATCCCAACTTTTCATTCAAACTCAAAGCCTTCAACTCTACTACATGTCGGTGGCCGAGCGGTCCAGCTGCCCGGTTTGTTACTCACAGCTCGCCCATCGAGCCTACGTAGGTGCCCGCGGACTCGCAGTAATCCTAGCTCACAGGCGATAAATGCTGCTTACGTGGCTGCGAAGCATTGGTAAGGTGTACGGACGTGTCGCTGATGCCTTTTCTTTCTCTCCTTCCTTTCCTTTCCTCTATCTTTTCTTCCTTATCCTCGTTCTTTCTCTCTTCCCTTCCTTCTCTTCTCTCTTCCTTTTCCTTCCTTCAACGCTACTATAAGGCTGAGGGTAATGTGTGCACAAAACGGTCACATCTCAGTAAGAACAGTAAGAGGTTACTGCTTTACCGGTCGATGCTTGAGGAACAGTGCTCATATCTAGGCGATCAGTACTGAAGTCCGCCTGTTGGTATTCGGAAAAAGTCTTCTATTACCACCTTGCAATGTTGACTAACTTTGAATCCATCACATTGACTAGGTCAGTACACCTTTTGATCGCCTCCCTCGATGAGCGTCACTAATGTCACTGCGCCTGGTTGGACGAGACCAAAATTACTCTGATTGGCATTGACACGAGTGATTCTCGGAGACTACGACCACAAAATTTACTGTATTGACAATTGGAAACCACAAAGGATACGACGCAGTCGCTGGCTCAGTAGCACCCCTACAGTCTGTTTCTTGCATCGAGCTGTTAACACTACAACCCGATTAGTCTTACCCACTTTTTCATAACTTCGTTTTTGTATTCCATCTGCCGACTACCTTATTTCTCATTTTTTAATTAACGTTCTCATGATGACAGAAGTCGTGGGAACAGGATCCACCGCATTTCGACCTTCGGATTGTATTAAAGTGAACCGAATTTTTCCAGCAATTCACGCGCATTCCGTCGAGACATAACTTGCTTGTTTTGCTGAAAGCCATACGTCTAACTTCAAGCACTATCTTAATGTTCCGTGACGCGTTCACTGAAACCTTCGCAGCTGAAGCATTCCAGTGTGTTACCAATCCTCCATTTAATTTTCTTCTCTCCGCTCTCAATTGCAGCTTGGTGTTACCTCCGGATGTCCTTGGCCTCCTAGCCAGCAAATCTTGGAAAGAACGCCAGCAGGCCCTGAACGATTTGCAGCAAGCCATCCGAGCGGCGAAGAACATCGGAGGTAGCAATGGTGTCCTGGAAGAAGCCCTGACAGCCGTCGCCAAAGTGTGCACTGATGCCAACAAAATATTGAGCAAAGCTGCCGTTGTGTTGCTTGGCGAGATCGCACAAGCACTCCCTGGAGCTGAGGCTGCAAGACATCTCAAGTGAGCTTTTTCTGAGATGATAATGATGATGTTGCATTTTTGGTCACAGCTACAATCGGGACTCGTCGTTATTACACATTCCATCTGCCGCGTGAGGGATTGGAATCCGCGACTGTTTATTTTCGAGTGACAGATTAAAACCATCGAGTTGCTTGGGATGGACAGCATCCCCGTGACTAAGCAACAAGCTGTGATAAAGCGCTGCTTATCCTCCACTGCTGTTTTCAACCAGCTGGCGGGAGGAGGGAGGGGGTATCGTGGAACCTCAGAATCACGACATTCCGTACATTGTGCTCTATCAACTTCTGTTCTGACCCAACAAGGGTCGAATGGAATGTACCCTGTCGTCGATTCCATATAAGATGAAACGGCTGTACGGTGTTTTTCCGGGCGTGTGATGGCTGTCTGAGTTTAGATGTGACGAATTTCTACTAATACACCACCCAACCCCCCCCCCCCCACTAGCATGCAGTTACTGATGGTAATCAAATAGAATACACACTACCGCTGACTTTATCCTTCACATTGGCTGGTGGGTTTTTGCTCTACAGAAATTCTCTATGATTATTCTCACTTTTGTCCCAAGTTCATATGGGTTCAGATACTTGAAGTGCCCACTCTTCTAAGACTTTCTCATAGTAACCATTATTCCGATGTACATTCTAAGACGTTTCTTCCCGCTCTCTTGGTTGCACGGCTAGAGCGGTGTGGATGGAAAGGGTGCGATTTGCGGAATCCGGTGTGTTTTCATTTGATGTTTCACTAGACTCAAATTAACTGCACTTGCTAGGTTATACCCATTTCGTGCACCTAAACCAACTATCCCGACTTCAGTCGCTCACTTAGATAAGCAGTCGAGAATTTAACGTACCGGCTTGCCGAACAACCTCGTGGTGCCAGCTGAGTGGTTCGGGATTTTCCACTTCCAGCAAATGGTTCGGCAGCAGTGTTCCAGGACACGGTGGGTTTTCGCCTGGCAAGTGTTCTCCCTATAAAAAGCCACATATGTCCGTTTAGCAACACTGTGACGTGGCGGACGTGACTCGCCACTAACTAGAGTCACTGCCTCTTGCTTCATCCTGGCGAAGCATTATATTCCAGCAAGTTTATCCTATAATTTTGGGGAGCATTGGGCTCCTGTTTGACAAAGGAATGAACGAAAGGCGTATGAACTGAGCAATTAGTCACCGGCTCCCAATGGGCGCGATTCCCTGAATTCGCTCCGTTGTGTTGCAGGCAGGCTATCCAACCAAATGCTCAGGGTGATGTCCTCTAAGTCAACACCCTACTTCGGCTTGGGCAACCGGGTAGTATCTCGCCCTCTGACGAAACCATGGAATTTGATGTGTTGTGTTGTGTTTTCTCTTACTGTTTTTGTACCTTCTTTTGAATCCCATGGTTTCTGATGGCTTTATGTA